ATCTTGTAATATGAGAAACTACTTTGGCAGTAACAATACACAATGTACTAACTATTATTACTCTCCTAAAATCTTGTTTTGAGATTTTGTAAAATAAATAAATAAATAAAAATTTTTTTTTAAAAAAGAAAGAAGCGAATAGGCAAACATCTCTACATACAATATCTGAGCACCAAAAATATGGACTAAAGCTGATAGACATGAAGAGAGAAATCAATTCAACAATAAAAGCAGAACTTTCAATAACCCACTTACGATGATTAGAACAACTAGCAGATCAACAAGGAAATAGCTTAATCACTACTAAAACTCAAGTAGCTCTAACAGACAAGCTATAGAATACACCAGTTAACAACAAAACACATAGTTCTCAAGTACAGAGAAAACATTATCCAGAATAGACTGTGTGCTATCTACAAAATGAACCACAATAAATTCTGAAAAGCAGAGATGATACTTTATAAATATGTTTTCTAACTACAAAGGAATGAAATTAGAAATAAGAAATGGGAGAAAATCACAAATATCCAGTAATCAAGTGGTACGATCCTAAATAGTTAATGATCAAAAGATAAATAAAGCCAGGTGAGGTGGCACAGGCCTGTAAGGCCAATACTCAGCAGGCAGAGGCAGGTGGTTTGCCATGAGTTCAGGACCAGCCTGAACATATAGAGAGACTCTGCCTTAAAAATAGAAAAATATTTTAAAATCTAAAAATACTTTGTGGTAGATTAAAATGATTGTGGCTTGCATCTAGATGTTCTCTCAAAGCCCCAGGCGGGCATAGGTGGGGCTTTACAGACATGGCTGCGTTCAGAATGTGTGAAGGTGGGATTAAGGGTGTGATTCTGGGATCAAGGGTATGATTCATCAATTAGCCTACTGATTGGTTTGGCATAGTTCTGTGGCTGGTTCGTTGCTCCATTGTATTGTTGCCTATTGCCTGCCATCAGCCGTTTCCCTCTACAGACCCCTTCCTTGGAGCCAGCCTCCTGTGAACTGAAACCTCTGCACACTGAGCTAAGCAAACTTTCCTCTTTTTACTTTCGGAGTAGAGTATTCTGGTTCAGCAATGAGAAAAATGACCCAGACAAAAACAAAGACATGACACATCAAATTTTGTGAATTTTGAGTACTGGCAGTAAACCAGTACTCAAGAGGAAATGTATGCCTGTAAACACCCATATTAATAAAGAATGAAGATTTCAAATTAATAAATTAATTTCTACCTTAAAAGACAGGAAAGGACGAGTTAAATTTAAATCGAACAAACAAAAAAAAGAATGAATTAATTCAACAGAGAATAGAAACAGAAAATCAATCAAACCAAAAGCTGGTTATTTTAAAAGAGTGACATATTTTTTATTGAATTGACCAAGAGAAAAAAAGAGAAAATTTAAATTACTAGCATCAGATGGTAGAACTTTACTATTGACTTAGATGTTTTGGGGCTTTTTTTGTAAAAGATGAGTAATTATATGCAATTAAGTTACAGAATTCAGATGAAATAAATCTAGAACAACACAAACTACCACTCTAACCCAAAAGTGTAGGCAACCTAAATAGAGTTATAAACACAAAGAAAATGAATAAGCAATATTTTCTCAAAATCCTACTTGCAAATAATAGCCCCATTCAATCACTTTGCTGTGGAATCCTGCCAGATAAAAAAATTAGTACCATCTCTACAAAATCTCTTCAAAAAAAAAAAAAAAAAAAAAAAAAAAAAAAAAAAAAAAAACCGGGAGGAGCCGAAAGATGGTGCAATGGTGTAAGGATCGGCAGAGCACACGTCTGAACTCCAGTCACGCCGCAACATCTCGTATGCCGTCAAAAAAAAAACAGAAAAGAGAACACCTTCAAATTCTATGATGCTGATGTGACTGCAAGGGAAAGCTCGTGCATGGTGTTGAATGGTCATGCCCTTTGCACTCCCTCTACCCATGCCACTCCCTATTTAGTTTAAAATTATTAGTCTGGGGGCCAGTGAGATGGCTCAGTGGAATAAGTGCTTCCCAGGCAAGCGCAAGGGCCTGAGTTCAATCCCTGGTTCCGCGAAAAAAACAAACAAACAAAAAAAAAAAAAAAAAAAAAAAAAAAAAAAAAAAAAAAAAAAAAAAAAAAAAAAAACCCAGGCCCTCAGCTGTATTATTAAAAATAAATAAATAAATAAATAAATAAATAAATAAAATTATTAGTCTGCCCGTCACCACAGACCCTTTCACTGCATTCCATATTCATCACAACACTATTCTCAATAGCCAAGATGTGAATCAACCTAAGAGTCCATCCACAGGTTAAAGGAGAAAAAATAATGTGATGCACACAACAATGGAATAATACTATTTAGCCATAAAAATGGTTGAAACGCTGTCGTCCGTGGCAATGTGACTGGACCTCAATATCATGATGTTAAGTGAATTAACCAAGACATAGAACAGTGCGTGCCATAGGATGCAGGGGATTGTTCAAAGCGGAGCCCACAGAAGCAGAGAATAAAATAGTGATTGCTAGAAGATAGGAGAGCAGCAGTGAGGCAGGGATGGGAAGTAATTACTTAATAGGTACAAAGTCACAGCCAGGTAGGAAGAATCACTGCTGAGGTTCTACTACATGGAAGCATGATCATTGTCAACAATAATATATTGCATGATTTAAATTATGATTATTTTTGAGACAGGGTCTCAGGATATAGCTTGGACTGGCCTCAGACTGTATAGTCCAGGCTGGCCTCAAAAGCACTTAAACACATGGAAATCTTCCTGCTGCAGCCCCTCAAGTACTGGGATGACAGGTATGCACCACCACACCCAGAGAAATGGAAACTTTTGAATATGGGACTACAGAGAAATTGGGGCCGGGAAGATGGCTCAGTAGAATAAGTGCTTGCCTGGCAAGCACAAGAGCCTGAGTTCAATCCCCAGTTCCACCAAAAAAAAAGAAATGATAAATGTTTAAGATGATGGATAGCCTGGTTATCTTGGGTTGATCATTATATAATACATACATGGACTGAAACATCACAATGCAATCTATCAAGATGTACAGTTATTATCTTTTAATGAAGAAAAATAATTTTAAAATAATAGAATAATTCATCAATATACTGAAATGCAAAGTGAATTTGTCTTTCATTATATCTGAATTAATGGAAAGCTAAGTCACAAAAGAAACTTAGCCCTGGGAAAGCTGGGCTTTCATATACAAACCTGGAAACTCTGCAAACTGTTAAGTTTAGAAATACACATAGTTTATGTATTGACTTTGTTTAACCCCAATAGAGAAGACAGCCCCGAAGCCTCTGAAGCATAGATTTCATCGCCTACACCTCACCCTGTGTAAAGTTGAGACCGGAAACACCATCAATGGTTCCAGCTGCAAAACTGTAGCCCAGTGCTGGTTTGCATGTTTTTGCCTAAAGGAAAGGTTGGAAAATTAAAGAAAAATACATGAGTTATGAAGCAAGCAAATAACAAGAACACCCCCAGTCCACTGCCCTGGGCAGGGTCGGTGACCCAGAGGTACTCACTGTGTGTGTAGAATTCAGCCAGACGGTCACATCGGTCATATTCACCCACTGGTGAGCTGAAGCTACTGGCCCAGTCACCTCCTGGGAGGCAGAGTCATACAGTTCCTGGAAAACCCACACAGGCTTACTGTCCTGAGCACCGGGGCAGAGGCTGAGACCCCAGTGCTCCCCAGGAAGCACCATTTGGAAAACATTTCTCTGCAACAAGCTACTCCTGTTTCTCCAAGCTGCTTGGAAATAGCCACCATCTGTGTGGTTCTCTGAAGTGAACCCAGCAGCATCTCAGAGACTTGAGGGTTCTGACACTGTGAGCAATGTGTAAGCTCAAATTTTGCAGGTGCAAAATTCCACCAACACAGACTGTGACCCAAAAGGTGCCCAGCTCACTTGGAATACCGTCTGAGAAATGTAAGGCTGGGATGGACAGGACAGGCCACATTGCTTGCCAGAGGCAAGCACATCCTCACAGGGACTGACCTCTCCCCACAGGACAGGGTAGGCCCCATGTGGTGGATTGAAGACTTCAGCCCCCACTTAAGTTGCATCAGCTATGCTTTCTTCAACTCTCTTTGGTGGTTTTGCTTTTGTTTTTTAATATGGCCAGTGGATGCTTTTTTCAGTCTTATGGGAAAAGTTACTCGAAACGTACTTGGAATGTTTGTGTTCATTGGTCCTGCTTCAGCCCGACAACCAGTTCCTTTTCACCCTGTCCTCATCCCCTTTCTACAGTCACAGGTGAGCTCTGAACATGAGCTTTCGGGTCACCAGCTGCCACCTGCCTCTGGTGAGGGAAGCTGTACCTTGATGAGAAGAGACTGGAATATGGGGCAAATCTCTCTGTCTCCCTGGCCCAGGGTGGTAACAAGATTTCCAACACCAAAGTGTGTGGAGGGCACATACCCTAAATAGAATCTGTTAAGTTAGAGTAATACACTGATAACACTGCAGTAATTAAGAAAGAAACTGCAGTAATTAGGCAATTGCTGCCACCAATTGTGCGTCTTGTGTTTCTCAAGACTCTTTGGTTCTTCTCTAATTACCCCTGAAGCATTTCAGCACTCTGGGAATAAACTATTTACTTATACACACAGGGGGAGGGAGGGAGAGAAAGAGAGAGAGAGAAACAGAGAGATAGAGAGAGAGAGACAGAGACAGAGACAGAGACAGAGACTGAGACTGAGACAGAGACAGAGACAGAGAGACAGAGACAAAGAAACAGAGACAAACAGACAGAGAGAGATCTATGAGTATGGCATAAACACAGGAATTTAATGCTCTTTCTCAGGACCATCTCAGCAGAAAGTCATACTTTCTTTATCTTTCCCTTGGAGATCTTTCTCCATAGAAGCTGATAAAGAGCACAAGTGCAAATGAAAAGACGAAATCTAGGAGAGGGAGGAAGAACAACTCCCGGGATGTCTCCGCAGTCCACTTCTCTTATCACACCTTTGCTTAAGTAAGGAAGGCTGACCTCTGCCAGAAGAAGAATAAGACCTAACTGGGGCTGAAGTTGAGAGAGCCACAGCTCACCAATTTGTCATTAAAGGACACATTCAGAAATGGTCAGGTGATTTGGGACTGGCAAAAATCCGAGAGATTTCTAAGAATTTAGATTTGTCTGCACGCGTCTGATGGCACTTACATTGAATATCTTTTTTTTTTTTTTTTTTTTTCAATTCCAGGGAGGGAATTGAAGTCAGGACCATGTGCTTGAAAGGCAGGCACTTACTCTACTGAGCTATCTCCCCAGTCCCCTTGAATATCTTATAATCTGTTTTCTTCCATGTGAGGCAAGCACTCTGGCTTTCTAAACATTCTAAAATAGAAGATTTCCCTGTTTACTTGGTTTTAAATGTCTGTCCTATGAGAAGCAGAGCCCACCAGTCAGAGACAGCTTCGGGCCAGCTCCTACAGGCAGTGACCAGGCTGACGTCTCCAGACGTCCGGGCAGCCTCAGCTCCTACGGCCGTCCTCGCAGCTATCAACTTCCTAATGAACAACATCAGTGGATCGTAAAGAACAATTTTACATGAAGACGAGGTGGGCAGGGCCCATTGCTCACCTGCGCTCGTTCGTATATGGCCCGGCCTATCATCTGGGTGCTGTCCAGCATGTCTTGGCCAGGTCCCTGAGCCATGCACATGATGGGCTGAAACAGAAGGAGGCCAGACGCGGTCTTAGTGAAACGATGATTTTTTTCTTTTTCACAAAAGTAATTCAAAATTACAGGTGGATCTAAGCAAACAGATGTTGAGGCTATCTTCTAGCATTTCTGTTTTACCTTAGATAGTCTCTCAATATAAAGACTAGGATAAACAAAACCAAGCTGAAGCAGGGAACACTTTTAGAAAGCGTTTCAACAATTCCCTTTTAAAAATTAGGAAATAGAGGGCTGGCCAGATAGTTCAGTGGATTAAAGCACCCACTTAGGCAGATGCAGGGATCAGGGTTTGATCCCCTGCAAGCTGTGCCAGCCCCACCTCCTGGGGGTCCTGAGACAGTGATTGAGACTGGGCGTGGTGGCACGCGCCTATAATCCCAGTGGTTGGGAGGCTGAAAACAGGAGGATCACTAGGAGTCTGATATAGTAGTGAGACCTTGTAGACCCTGTCCTAAATACAGAAAAATAGAAAAATTAGGCAAAGGAGGTGAGGTAGGTTAAAAGAGATGCTGCACATGGCACAGGCAGCTAAGAGCTGAGCTACGTCTGGAAGCCAAGCGTTCCTCGACCTGTACATCTCCCTGACACTTATTTTTGACTACAAGTCTTGCCCATGATCTTCTCAAATTGAATCTCTTCTAAACTCATATTGGAACAAGCCTCAGGCCTTCTGGGAAAAAAAATAATAAATATGGTTCGATACCCTATTTATTACTTCAGAAAAATTTGAGACTGAACACATACTTAAATATTATAAATGGAATAAAAGATATCAACAGAAAGCATAGACCCTTAGTAATTCTTTCTGATTTGTTCATGTATTTTTCTTACTTAGCTAACTTATTTTAATTTTATTTACTTTTATTAGCACATGTTTAATTCATCTTTATTGGTTTCTCTTATTTAAAGTAAAATTCAGCCTAATGGAGACCTCACTGAATACGGATGAAATAAGTAAGACACACACACACACACACACACACACACACACACACACACACACACACACGGAGAAAGAAATATAAGTGGCCATTCAGCAATAAATGTGTTCCATTTCATGAATAATGAGATGAAAATTTAAACTACAAAGATATAACTCTGTCTACCATGTTGGCAGATATCACAAAAGTGACAGACTTGGCTTTGGGGACTTGGGGAACAGTCACTCATCCACAGCAGCTAGAACGTCACTGAGGGAGCAGTCGGGAGATGCAGAGCATTGCGAGGTGTGTTCCCTCTTTGATGGCAAATTTAGCCACAGTGAGACTCACACATGCAGGTAAATACGTATGGCAAGCATAGTGATCATGGTGTGTAGGCTTACACAGATGGAAAAGGGAGGATGAATTCAGCAGGAAGAAGGGGAGGGGAGAGAGGGAAGGGGAAAAAGAGGGAAGGAGGGAAGGAAAGAAGGGAGGAGGAAGAAAGGAAGGAAGGATGGAAGGAAGGAAGGACGGAAGGAAGGAAGGAGGGAGGGAAGGGTAGAAGGAAGGGAAAAGGAAGGAAAAACAAAGAAGGGAGGGAGGGAAGGAGGCAAGGAGGGAGGGAGGGAAGGAGGAAAGAAAGAAGGGAGGAAAGAAGAGAGGGAGGGAAGGAAAGAAGGAGGGAGGGAGGGAAAGAGAGAGGAAGGGCAGGAGGGAGGAAAAGAGGGAGGGCAGGAGAGAGTGGAAAGAAACACCTACCAGTGAAGGATGCGTTAACTAAATCATGATACTTAAAACTGAAAATTAAAAAGTTAATAAAACGGTTTCAGGCATATTGACTGAAAATAAATAAAGCAGTAATAGAAGAGTGCTGGAGTAGGAATGTGTGTATGCAAGAGTGTCCGCGTGCTGGAACAGGAGCTAAAAGGCTGTCTGGGATCCCATGCACGGACATGAGGGCTGCCAAGCCAGCGTGCAAATGGAGAGAAGCTCAGTGCCGGCCTGGGTAGGGGCGTGGGCGGTCTTGTAATTTTTTATGATTATAAAAGTAAATTTTTCTCATTATAGAACAGCATATCACAATGCAAACAGAAGAATAAAACTTACTTTTAATAGTGTCAAAAAAGAAAAGCATTGCTAGCAACTCAACATGTTTCACTTTGCCTTTTTACTATATCACAACTATTTTTTAAATGCATTTACAATAAATATAGAATATTAAATTATGAATTTATTATTCAACATTTTATATTGTGAACTTTTCCCTACATTGTTCAGTGTTCCAATGTAAGATACTTAATTGATGTATAATATTCTGTCACAAGTGTGATTTATTTAGCTATTTCACCTGTGAATTTCAGAATTTAACAAGCTATCTTAGAACTCGGTGCAAATTAATAATGTGAAAAATAATACAAGTGAAGATTCACGAAGGAAGTTTCTACATAAAAACAAGATATAGCACAGCTGACAAAGCTACAACACTCCTTGGGTAGGGCTGGTCATAATAGAATAAATAGCTCAGAAATAATGTAGAACAAAAGTAACGTCACAAATAAAATGTTCTCGGGGCCAGGGAGATGGCTCAGTGGAATAAGTGCTTCCCTGGCAAGCACAAGGGCCTGAGTTCAATCCCCAGTTCCGCCAAAAAAAATAAAAATAAAACAAATAAAATGTTCTCAAAATGTAAAGAACACAAAAAATAACACCTGCAGTTCATGTCAAGACACAAAAGTTACATTTCTTGTTATATAGGTCTTGCTTTATTTTGGTCTTAACCATCCAGCAGAAAAGTATAAAAATGCGGTATGGAAACTAAAGCCATATTAATATGCTGAGCTGTGAAAGACTCAAGTCAACAACTTCTGACATTGCCAGTCCTATGGATAGCCCACTACTATTATGGACTACTGGACTATACTGGATTATTTTCCTGAATTCACGTACCTACAATATTTAAATGGCAATAGAATACCCACCTCTTGACAAAAATAAACAAAAAAGGGAATATAGGGCCAGGGAGATGGCTCAGTAGAATAAGTGCTTGCCTGGCAAGCACAAGAGCCTGAGTTCAATCCCCGGTTCTGCAAAAAAAAAAAAAAAAAAAAAAAAGGATGGGGGGAAGATATAAATAAAGGACCATTTTGTATCTGTATATACAAAATAGTTAGGATAGGTATACAGCTATTGTCTCTTAATCAATGAGAAGAAAGATTTGTACTAATAATGTTTGGACAGGATATCATATCTGCATCTTGTACTATGAATAACCACTACGAAGACAATAATATGCAATGTATTAATTACTGTAACTGTCCTACTAACCTGTCTTGAAACTGTTTCATTATGATTTGTTTCTCAATAAAATTAATTTTAAAAAAAGGTTGAAAATAAATCTAAATCAACTTTGCTGGAAAGCAGTTGAATAAACATTCCTTTCTATTTTCCAAAATTGTCAAACAGATCTAGAGATACCTATAAAGATGTCTGAGGCACATTTCATTGACCAATGATATAAATTCATAAATAAGTCACAAAACTGTTTAGGCTCAGGGAGGGGAGAAAAATAGCAACTTTTGAGAAAGGAGAAGAGTAGAAGAGGCTAAGCAGGTACTTTCAGGTTGTTCTTAGCCTTTGAATTTTTATAGCAAGATATTTTGCAATTGTAAATGAAAAAGAAATTCTGCTTTATATTTTTTAAATACTATAGATTTGTAGTCAGTGAGCAACGTTGTAAGCAGACAGTTTTGGGGGCCAGCTTGTGACTTCACGTATGTCCAGACAAAAATGCTTTAGACTTCCTATGTTTGGTGAAAGAGACTTGGTCTCTACATTTAATTTGATCAAATGGAAAACCATAATTTTACCTACTCAAAACTTAGTGAGGTCCTGCAGGTGCTGTGGGGACGAGCAGGGAGGACAGACAGCAGAGCAGGCCACACTGATGACAAGGCACTCACAGAATCAGTGGCGCGTATCCCAAACCCAAGCATGGAGCACTCATGAGGTGTGGACGTGAGGACTCTGCGCAGTGAGTACCTACCCCACCAATGGGACAAGAGCTATTGGCGTTGTCACAGGACTCTCCCGTATTGACGCAGTGCGGGCCGAGAATGTTGGGGGACACATCTCCTAGGGCTGAGGAGGCAAAGGCTGCTACAAAGGGCCCCTGCCAAAAGAAACATCGCAGTGCCTTTTATTCTTTCTTAGGCCCTATAACTATTTCCATTTAAAGTGCAAACACTACTCAAAATCATCTACGGACAATAGAAAGAGGACATAACATTTCTGAGGACATCTTTTTTTAATTTGTGAAATGGTTCGATATACATATTATTACTGAGAATATTCTAGTTGTCAACAAAGCCATTTCAAGGATCATGGTTAGTTTCACATTCTCAACATGAGTCAGATCGATTAAGGTTGTCTCTGTCGTAGGCCTTGCTGTGATTGCATCTTAAATCCAATCCTGCCAGGGCCTGTGCTGAAGGCTGGGGCGCCATCTGAAGGCATATTGGCGAGGAGCAGAAACTTCAGGAAGTGGCGCCCTTTTGGAGGAAGTAGGTTAGTGGAGGTGCACCCTAAATGAGCATGCTGGGACCCCAGCCTCTTTTTCTCTCTTTTGGCTTCCCAGCCACCATAATTTGAACAGCTTTGCAGCATGATGCCCTCCCCACTGAGATGTTCGGCCTTGTCAGAAACACGAAGCAAAAGGACCAAGCAACCGCGAACTGAAACCAAATCTTTTCTTCTTTTAAGCTGGTTTATCTCAGGTCTTTTGTTATTGTGATGAAATGCTTACTGGTACAGGGATTATTACAGAAAAATAGAATTAGATATTTGGAAATAATTTCATCACTCTGAGGAAAGCCTGGACCAGTGAAAGACAGCCATCAGCTGTCCTTCTTCAGGCTTTTTGTACCAGTGAGAAGGTTCTTCATGCAGTGATAGTGCCAAAAACAAAGTTAGCATCAAAACAGCTTATCATATTTTCAGCTTGATCAAAAATTATTATACATAAAAATCTTAAAGTTGCTTTCCCTTATGCAACTGATTGCAACTTTATGAAGCCATAAATAGTATCTGCCACAAAGAGCTAGTGGTTTATTAATCCTTTTTAAAAAATTCCCACTAGCGAGTAATGTCTTTTTTTTTTTTTGGCAGAACTGGGGATTGAACTCATGCCCTTGCGCTTGCTATGCAAGTGCTTATTCTACTGAGCCATCTCCCCAACCCCTTGAGCCATCTCCCTGGCCCCCCTACTAGGGAGAATAACAAATTCTTTCCATCCAAGCATATGTGTAACCCACAATGATGCTTTATTCTAGAAATCTAAATCAAGTATTCTAAACACTGCATGACTAGTGGCACTCAACGAATTAGTAATGAAATTAATTCTCACCTGGCCAGGGAGGTATCCTTTGTTCTTCTCCTGCTCAAAAAGGTAAGCTGCATAGCCCACATTATCGCTATTTACAAGGTGGTTGGTGTTATTCATGCTGACTGGGTGGATGCTAAACCAACTGTAAAAGAACAAGAAACCCTAAATTGATCAAGAGAACCAGAGAGTTATGACTGAAAGATGAATACAGCAAACTTGAGTTTTCTCCAGGAAAAAATACTGTAAACATTAAATAGTCCACATTAGACACTGTTACCAAGCTTAAATTACAGATAATGTACCCAGGAAACCTGCGCATTTATTTAGATATCTAGAACTCCTTTTCATGAGTATTTAATTGTTGACATCCCATCCTAAGCTTCTAACAAGTGCCACGGCTGGTCAATTACCAGATGATTTACCTAAATAGCTATATAGATGTAGACTTTGTACTTCAAGATAGGCACAAAGATAGTAATTGTTCAAAACAACCCACCACAATTCAGTAGACACTTTACTGGGGGTCAGCTATGTGCCAAGGACAGACAAATGGTAGTTTGCTCATAGACTCTCCCAGAAGACAGAGATGTGACTAAATGGCCTTAATACGGCATGAAAAATGGTATAAAGAAATAAGCATAAAGTGCTTTGGGGACCACAGACAACTACCAATTAAATCATAAGGGCGTTATAGAGAAAGGCAACCAAAGGGGCCAGGGAGATGGCTCGGTGGAATAAGCACTTCCCTGGCAAGTGTAAGGGCCAGAGTTCAATCCCCGGTTCTGCCAAAAAAAAAGAAAGGCAACCAAAGACAAACCCACGGAAGCATGAACGAGCACTACGCATAATTCCTTCTGCATCATAATTCCTTATTTGTGCACAAAGCTGTACAGCTTACAAATTAATCTCACATCTGTTACTTTACGCTCGCTTCACAGCAAGCCTGATGGGCTATTGTATCTTCATGTTCACAGATGACTTCCAGGATAGAAAAGAAAGCCCAACTGCCAAACCAGACTGGGACTCACGCCCGTGTCTCAAGACCCCTTTTCCACTGGCCTGTATGGCAGCAAACCCACCGCACAGGCAGAAAAGACAAAACAATGAAGCAGATTAACTGGCATGTTCAAGGAAAAAGATGTCAGTCCTCGAAGTCTCTTGTGAATTTGGAATTTTTTAAAGTCTTTTGTTGATTCAACGCTTTGCTGAAAAAATTTTTAAACATTTTAGCTTATGTTCCCTCCTGAGTAACACATCACTCAAAAATAGATAGTTGCTTAATGATGAAGGATGTTTTCATTCAGCTCTCAGAATTCAGTCCTCACTGCCCAGCTCAAGCCAGGCAACATGGTGAGCTAAGCTGGTTGATCGACAGGGCCGAGCACAGTCTGGGGAGGACTCGGAGGGGCTGAAAGCCCAGCCTCTGCTCAGGCCTGGACAGTGTTGCCTCGCAGGAATGCAAACCAGCACTGCAAGATCTTCCAGATCTTCCTATTTTCCAAAAAGTAACACAAAGTCAAATTTACTTGTGTGTGTGTGTGTCTGTGTGTGTTGACTTTACATTTCTTCAAGGGCAAGGGATGTAGCACGAGGTCCTGAGTTTGAGTCTCGGTACTAAAAACATAAAAATGAAATAGAATAAAGTTCTTCAAGAATGAATGTCATGGAAGGGCCAGCCAGATAGCTCAGCAGACTAAAGCACCTACTTAGGCAGAATACAGCGGCCAGGGTTCAATCCCCAGCATGCTGTGCTGGCCCCACCCCCAGGGTGCACTGAGAGGGTGACTGAGACTGAGCGTGGTGGTGCGTCTGTAATCCCAGCACTTGGGAGGCTAAAAACAGGAGAATCACTACGATCTACATAGTGAAACCCCCTAGACCCTGTACTAAATATATAAAAAGGGAAAGAAATGTCATAGAGACAAAAGAATTGTTGCAAACTAAGAAGCAGTACAGAGATTGAACAACCACAGTTTGCACTGTGTTTGAATTCTGATTCAAACAAAATAACTGATGTTGTTGTTTTGGGTGTGGTTTTTTTTCAGTGTATTTGGTTGTTACAGGGTTTCACTATGCAGCTCAGACTTGCAGTGATCTTCCTGTCTCAGCCTCCCCAGCACTGGGATTGCAGGCATGCACCACCATGCCTGGGCTTTGGCTGGCTCAGTGTACCACGGGGCATGTGGTGCTAGGGACTGAACTGTGTTCCCTGCACTCCCAACTATATGGAACCTGTATGATAGCTATATAGAGAGCTGTAACACAAATAATTCTAAAATGGTATTGATTTGAAGTTTTTCACAGCAGTGAATACTTATTTCAAACTTTTAAAAGCAATAATACACCTAAAATTCAGGCTGAAAATAAGCTAAGCTCATCCCCTAAACGATTTCATATTATGAAATCTTGCAAAGATTTTGTATTAGTTCTATTATTATTATTATTATTATTATTATTATTATTATTATTGGTGTTACCAGGGATTAAACTCAGACCCTTGTGCTTGTGAGACAAACACTTATTCCACTGAGCTATCTCCCTGTCCTCCCTCACATTGGTTCTAAATAAATTCTATTCAGTTTCATAGGATAGGGTTGGACCTGGTGACCATGTTCCAGGAAGAGAACTAATGTTATCGCAGCACCAGCAGAGCCAGCTACACAATGTTCATGCGAAACCCACTGCCACCATGTAGATGGGGGAATGTTGAAGGCTTTCCCTCCAAAGTCAAGAATAAAACAAAGACTTTCATTATCACCACATCTGTTAAGTACAGTACTAAGAACATTAGCCAGAACAATTGGACAAGAGAAAAAAAATAAAAGGGATACAGATAGGAAGGGAAGAAGTCAAATCACTACTATTTGCCAATGACACTTACACAGAAGATCCCCAAAACTCCCCCAACAGATTCCTAGAATAATCAAACACAGTAATGTAGCAGGGTAGCAAATCAACTCAGAAAAGTCCATAGCATTCTTGTACAACAATAATAAACCCACCAAGAATGAAATTAGGAAAACAATACCACTCACCATAGCATCAAGAAAAATTAAATACTTAGGAATTAACCTACTCAAGAAAATAGAAGACCCTACAATAAAAACTACAGTACTGTAAATAAAGGAAACCAGGAACAGTAGGAAATGGAAAGATAGCCTCGTTGCTGCACAGACAGAATGGATGTTGTCAAAATAATATATATATAGCATGAAAGTAGCACAAAAACAGACATGCAAAAGGATGGAATATCAGGGTAAAAATCCTGAGGGGATTTAACTGACCTTGGCAGATACAAAAATTATATTTCTTGTTATATAAGTCCTGCTTTATCTTGGTCTTAATCATCCAGCAGAAGAGTATAAAAATGAGGTATAAAAAGTAAAGCCATATTAATATGCTGAGCTGTAAAAGGCTCAAGTCAACAACTTCTGACATTGCCAGTCCTATGGATAACCCACTACTATTATGGACTACTGGACTATCTTGTATTATTTTGCTGAATGCACATACCTACAATATTTAAATGGCAATGGAATACCCATCTCTGACAAACCTAAACAAAAAAAGGCAATACAAATGAAAGACCATTTTGTATCTGTATATTCAAAATAGTTAGGATAGATATACAGCTACTGGGGCTGGTGAGATGGCTCAGTGGTCTAAAGCACCTACTTAGAACAAGCTCAGCAAAGCACAGGGACCGCAGTTCAATCCCCCAGCACCACATGCCAGCCAGCCCGCCCCCTGGTGGGCTGGGCTGGCCACACACACACACACACACACACACACACACACACATAAATAAATAAAAATTTAAAAAAAAAAAGATATACAGCTACTTTCCCTTAATGCAATGAGAAGAAAGATTTGTACTAATAGTGTTTGGACAGGATATCATGTCTGCATCCTGTACTATGAATAACCACTATGAAGACAATAATATGCAATGTATTAATTATTGTAACTGCCCTACTAACCTGTTTTGAAACCATCGCATTGCTTTTTTTCTCAATAAAATTAATTTTAAAAAGGATGTAATAGCATGGCAGATGCAGAAACCAGCCCAGGAACATCCATCTTTGATTTAAAAAAAAAGCCAAAACTGCACTGGCAAAAGTGCAGTCTCTTAAATAAATGGTGCTAGAAAACCTGGTTATGCACATCCAGAGGACTGGATTTAAACCCATATACTGTCCTATTGTTTTAGTTTTTCTCATTGCTGATGCCAAATACCTAACACCCAAAGTTAAAGGGGAAAAGGTTGATTTAGCTCACAGTTTGTAGAGGTTTTAGGTCATAATCAATTGGCTCCAAGGCAGGGTGGCACATGGCAGAGGGCAGCCATTCATGGTGGTGGGCAACAGCAAAACCAACAAGAGAGGGAAAGACAAGCCTCTTTCTGGCTCTTACATGGTATGGAGGGTACCTGCCCCAAGGCAGGTGCAGCATTCACACTCTTAGTCCCAGCACTGGACCTCCAGTCAGTCACAAATTCTTGACCCAGTCACCTCTGAAAAGCTCACCCCGCCTCATGACTGCGCAAGGCTTTGGGTGGTCACCTAGCCACAAACCATAACAACTATGTACTAACCTAAAATTCAAATGCATTGAATATCTAAGTACTAAAACATAAGCATTTAATCTGCTAGAAGATAAAATAGGTAAAACTCTTAAAGACATAGGCACAAGTAAGGACTTTCAGAACAAAACACCAATTACACCGGAAATAACCTGAAGAATTAATAAATGGGATTATAGCAAATTTAAAAAATTCTGCACAGCAAACAACTAATAGTGTGAAGAGACAACCTACAAAATGGGGGAAAATTGCAAGTTTTACTGCAGACAGAGTACTAGTATCTAGAATCTATATAGAATTCAGAAAAACTAGACCTCCCAAAATAAATGATCTAATCAAAAATGGGCAACTGAATTAAAGACTTCTCAGGGGAAGGACAAATGGCCAATAAATACATGAAAAAAAAAATGTCCAACATCTCTGGCTTTTGGAGAAATGCAAATTTTGAAAACTATATTGAGATTTGATTTTATTCCACAATGACTATCATCATGAAATAAAACAACACATACTGGCAAGGCTTCAGGGGAAACCAAGAACAGTTGTTTTTCTCATTGCTG